CGATTTTTTGCAAACAAAATCACTTTATTGCCTTTCTTCTTGTTTCGTTGTCTACTTTTTCCTCTTCCTCCTTCACTCGACAACTATTCTGTCGTCTGCGGCCACCAGCCAAATGTTGTCTGTGCATAAATTTTTAAACTTGCCCTTTTTTCTTTCTTTTCTGTGTTTTGTTTTTGTTGTTTGTGCATTCGAATTGACGCGCGCGCCCGAGCAGTGTAATCTATTTTCAATTGAATCCATCGGTTTGCGTGTGTAACTGTGTCTACTTGGTATGGCTGGCGACAGGACAGGCGCCAGCAAAGCAAAGCAAAGCAAAGCATCACACACTGCAGTGCAATGCGACGCTTCGTCCGATTACGAATTGCTAAATTGTCATTTTGCGCTTGAGAGATGCGCCAGCCGCGCGCGCTCTCGCGAGGCAGCAGCAAGCAGCAGCAGTAGTACGACAAACCAGCAGAACGACACTCGTCTGACACTGTTTTCCCTCTGCATAAATCGATATTGTACAAAACAAATCTAATTTTGGCGACTCGAACAGCTCGACAGCTCGCCAACAGTGCCAGTAAACACTGCTCTTTCGGATGCTGTTGTGTTGTGTTGACGAAAGGCCGAAAGTGCCAACTGTACACCAGCCATTAGCCGGCAAATAAATCAAATCAAAGACACGATTTACCAGCAAAGGGCATTTACAAGAGTAAATCCAATCCGTGTTACAGCAGTTGAACAGGGCAGCAACAACAACAAAAAAAGCATGCATTTTGACTTCCGCTTTTTTGCCTACTAAACTTTAAAATGATCAAGCCTATTTGGCCACTGAGTGAACTTCAGTCGAATCATTGAACGAAAGCCATTTAAGTTTACGAGTTTTTTCTTTTCATTTTTAATTTAATTATTTGCACTGTCACTAATCATCATAATGTAAAAAAGCTTATCTGCACTTGAACTCAAAGTCAAAATAGACCAAAAGTTGTTTTAGCTGTGTTGCTCGTTTGACTACAGTACTTGAGTGTACTACAGTGTTCATTAAATGTATTTAAAGAACGACACTTTTGCTAACATATCTTTTGACCAACTACTCTTCAAAAAACACACTTGGTTTGACAAGAATGTTTCCTTTTGTTTTTTATGAGCAATGTTTTTTATCAAGATAGCGTCAATTGTCGCCTGTTCTGTTACATAGAACAATGAACCAACAAAAAGAAAGAAGAATCCTTTCAAAAAGTTGAAATAAATGCAGGAGAATTCATTAAAAGTAATGCTAATGCCAGTCAGACTCGTCTTGTGGTAATTAGATGTAATTATAATTACGATCATGTAGCAAAATTTATGAAATGGTTATCTTTACTTACTGAATGCTTATGAACCAGCAATCTTAAATACTAAATAGCTTTCCAGATGACATCAATGATTATTGCCCGTTTTGTTTGACAAATGGCCAACACAAATAAGAGAAGGAAACAACAAAATCAGATATAAAAAAATCATTTGATGAGTAAAGATAAATCTGACAAGTGAACATGTTAAATAAATTTTTTAGACAATTGTTTTAAAAAAGGTAGCTTATGAAATGTTATATTTAAAATAAGTTTGTAAAGCAAATTTTTTATAAAACGCTTTATTTTTGTTGATTTTTGTGGTAAACCGTACAGCCACTAAATTTGTAACATTGAAGAAAAGCCTAATAATAAAAAACGGTTGCTAGAGTGAGTTGTTAAAAACTAGTTTTAAAATTGAGTAAAATATTTAATGGCACTTTTGATTTTGATTTTTTAAACTCTAAATTATTTATTTCAATCAATGTTGTGTTATAAAAAACGTATTATTTTTGGTTTATTTAATTTTTACTATTGAGCAAAATAGAATTCAACATAATTCTGTAAACTTTGTATCACTTTCTTTTGATGCACTTATTTGAGTGCAGGAAATATTTTTACCATAAACGCCGGCATAAGTGCTCTCGTGAGTGCAAAAACTTGCCACAAAATAAAGTCACACCCAAAAAGTTTAATTTGAAAAAGGAAGTAAATTGATACAAGGAAATGTTTTTACCTAGTATTTTTGCAAAAAAAGTGAAAATAAATCAAAAACGAACTTTTATGTAAAAAATCACACAAAGAAAATATGTTTTAATTAATAAATACATTTTAATTTCAATAGTTTTAGTTAATTCAAACAAAATCAAATATTGAACTTTACTAATGGGTGGTATTGTCTACAATTTTCCAAAAAAATTGAAAAAAAGTTATTTAAGTATTTTTTGAAATTGTTTTTATGCATTTGCGGTACACTGGAGAATTGTTTTGAAAAGTCACTAATTGTTTTGGGTTTTATTCAAAAGCACCATTTGACTTTACATTACGTAATGAAGCAACCTATTAAAATTGAATAATAAAAATGCCATAATAAAAAATGATACAAAAGTGAGAAAGGTAAAGTGTATATTTGAGTACCAAGGAGGTGAGGCGACAATCATCTTGCGTGAATGCATTTGTTTTATGCAAAGTTTTGATATCAAACTGCATGCTTTTCAGGCATATTTCAAGCAATGATGGCAATGCTCGACTTGTAACTGGTCGCCGAATGAGACGTGGACGAAGGAGACATTTCAGTGGACGATGATGATGATGAGGAAGGATTCAGCTCGGCAGAGCTGAAGGAGTCACTGCGCAGTGGTGAACTGCCTTTGTGAGAAGAAGGAAACTGCAGTGGCGAGTCAAAAAAGATGTTCTCCTTTCGGTGAGTGTGCGAGGATGATCGCTGCTGATTTCTTAAAGCCGATGACACACAGCCCGTTTTGTTGTAGCTTTTGCCAGACAACACGACGCTCATTGTGAACACCAGACCGAGAATGAGGACAAGAATACCTGCTCCGATGAAGGGTAAATATTAGCTTATTGCGTTCAAACGTGTATTCAGTCAGTCCCTTACCGACAACCATAGAGGCGCATGCAATTGCTATCACAGACGGACCGAATGCCTGGGTGAAGAAGGCACAACGAAGTGCAAATCCAACGAGAAACCAGATGAAGCCAGCCAATGCGGTGAAAAATCCGCAGTAAAACTGCAAAAACATGTTAATTAAAAACGAATTGTATGAAAAATGCACTTGGATAAAAACGCCAACCATCGTTTGTCGGTTTTCATCGTAGCGAGAGCAGAAACAATCTCTTTCCCGTAGCTTAGTAAAACACAATAGATTCATGTTGCTTGAGAAGAAGGAGACAAAACGAAAGACAGTAAAGACTAAATTGGAAAGCAGCAAAAGCAGCCGGTTAAGTAAACTGGGTGAAGTGTAAGTCTTGAGTGACAACTTGCAAGAATTTGCAAAGCCGTCCAAGTGGAGGTAGAAGTGGAGCAAAGTGGCAGTGCCGGTGGCAGCGGTATATGAGAGAAAGTGTCAGTGTTGTTGTTGGCGCAGTTCACCAACCAGCCCGTGCCAATGGATCAATGGGCAATGCTGAGGCAGGTTAATAACCGACGACAGGAGTGAACCAACCAGCCAGTGCTGCAGTTCACCACAGTGCTGCACCTCTGTCACATGGACTAGGAAGTGACTGCTACCATTGCCTGCTGCCTGCCGCTCTACAACGAACGGTACTTGTCGTGATGACTTTCGCTTTACTGTGGCAGCGACCAGGTGGTCGCACCTGCTCCCAGTGGGTCAATGAATCGGACAGGCAGAGGAAAGGAGAGAAAAAAAGAGAAAGTGGCTAAAGTCACACGCCACATGTGCCCTCCAGTGAAGGAAATGCCTTTTCTCAAAGAAGGAAGGGAGAAAGAGAGAGGTACGTGATCAAAATTAAACAGTTTCCCAGTGTATCGAGATTTATAAATTGCCTAAATGAACCAAAATTAAACATTTTTACGAGCAAATTATCTACATTTAGCTACAAAATGCGGTGTTGCTTTTGTTTGTCAATTAGAATAGCGCTGCATTAATTACTGCAATCGGTCATCGACCAAGGTGGATTTTTATTTAAAACAACCACAACACAACTGGTGGCACTCACAAGGTCGCCTGATGATTGTAACCACGGCAACGCTTGTAGTAAGGTCAATAGTTTTGATAACACATGAGCAACCTATTGGTATGACTTGTGGATTTAGATTTGTTTTTATTTGGGTATTTGAAAATAACTCTATCAATTTTGTTAAAAAGAGTGATTTCATAATGTTTGTGCCATAAAAAAATAAAACACGTTCAACATTTGTTTTTCTAACTAACCCAAGTACAAATTACTCTGCATCAGTTTTTCTGAAATGGGTTCTGAACTTCCGCTTTGAGTAAAACTTCCGTAAACACTGAGGGTAACTAAATAATGGTGAATAATTAATGCAACGACAGCTTCAATGAAAGGACTACGGTGAATTATTGATTTGAAATATAGAAAAAATGCCTGATAAAGCCGAACGATTGGCTGCCCTATGTGAAGACATTTGGGTGCACACACTTGGAAGACTGCGACGACGCACTTTCATTACTACCATAAGTGCTATTAGTTATTATTAATTTAGAGTGTGTATGTCTTTTGGCCCGAGTAGAGTCATTTTGAACACACACACATACACACTGCTGTTCGCTGGGCAAAAAGCTGGCTGGGTGTGGGCTAGCTCACCTGACGACTTTGTGGTCGAAGTTTGCGGCGTAGAAGGGAACCTGCCTTGATTAATGCCGCAGACAACGGCAGACGACGGTACGGGTGAGCTGTGGAGCACATGTCAATGCCTTCCCTTCCCTTTCCTTTTGCTGCCTTGCCTAGCCTTAGCCATAATCAAGACAAAGTAAGTTGGGCAGTGTGACACTTCCTTCTTTTTGTTAATTCCTTCCTGTTCGACGCACCTAGTGTCGATCTCTCACCTAGTGTCCCTCCTTACCTCTTCACCATGCTGACAATAAATTTAAATTTCCATATGCAGCACGTCAGGGTACAATGACCTAACAGAATGTACAGCACCTCACTTACTCTCTCTCTCTCACACACACACTGCCGCTCTCTATTTCACGCGTCAATTGCTGGTGAAACACAACTGCTGACAGCTGCGGCCCAAACTGAGACATATCATTTCATGGATCACAGATTTTGTTGCAACTGTCTTGTTGAACATAAGAAACATGAGCCTCTTCACTACCTATAGTCTTCGACAATCGCATCAGAAGTGTCTGACAGAGACTGAATACGCAAAGTTCTAAAGAGCACACTTGAGCGGGACAATTGTCATCGCTCATCGCTATCAGGCAAATTGATTCGGTTCGATTTAGACGAGTGTCCTCACTGCAGCAGCTGCAGCAACAACAACAATAAAGTTGAAGCACAGCTCTCCAGTGAAGAGTGCACTGTCAGCAAGTGTGACCACACGGCGGCCAGATGACTTTTGCCCAAAGGAGTTTAGTGGAGTAATTGAATTCGCCACTTGCGCAGTAATTCAATCGCACTCACTAATCGGCCACACGTTTCGTATTTCAAGAGTCAGTGCCGGCCGCCAAGACAAGGCAAAAAAAGCGTTTTGGAAAAATATGTCCACTCAAAGGGTGGGCGATTTTTCAATTTTAATTGGCTTGCACTTGCTCTTTTCTTTAGTGGTACTACAGTATCAATAAGGCCCGCTTTTGAGAATTGAAATAAAATATAATTGACCGCTTCTTGCACTGAAAACGCATTCAACTCAAGAAAACACTACTCAAAGCAAGAGCACAAGATAATTAAAACCAAATGCACTAATAGAAAAAATAAAAATAAAAAGTCAGCTAAAAAATAAACTCGGCAAAAAAGAATTCATTGAAAAAATGTATTCGTTCGTTGAGTGTGTGTGTGTGTGTGTGTGTGGGTGAGCGACTGGGGACAGCATGATCGATCCATTGAATCCAAAAGAGGCCCATCAGCAGCAGCATCAGCATCAGCAGTGAGTCCGGTGTTACTGCAGTGCTAAGCATTATGTATGCATCGATACATTAATAATACATTACGGCGAAGCAATAAACAGATTTGCAGCCTGCTCTCCTGCACCACCGTAGTTGACAAATTGAGCATAGAGGCCAATTGAGCTTGAATAAATCATTGAAAAGATGGCTTTTATATGCAACATCGTCTCGCCATAAACACATCACCGCTATGTCTTGACACAAACGAAAGAAAGAGAGAGAGAGAGAGAGGTGTGAGCAAAGTGACAACGATTAGTTTGCACATTGTACAGCAGTACAACAATGCTGTTGGTACACATCGATCGACATTGCAGACACCCCAGACACTACATGATCCGTCCATACTCTTTAATAGTGGTGCAATGCAAAATGTCAACCCGAAAAAAGAAAAAACGGCTTAGCTTCTGGGAAGCCTCAGGTGACGCCGTTCAAAGCGATTTTTCAAGTAGTCGGCAATCACGTGAAAGTCTTCCTTGCTTCCTCGCAGCTTCTTCACTTTGATGATCACAAATGTCCCGCCGTTCATAGAGGGCATGGGGAGGAAATCGGCACGAAATACCAGCACTATTTCATTCATTGCAGATAGGTAGCATCGCATTTTCTGGCTAAAATTTGAAAAGGTAGGGCAAAGGGAGAAAAAGCAAAAACAAAGTTGAGTATCAGTTTTTCCACTTTGATCAACTACTTCAAAGCAGGAAGCAGCGGCGGCACATTTGCACTTTAACATGCCAGAGAGAAAGAGAGAGCCGGCAAACGCTCAACTGATCAATACTTGGGGGACACAGTCGCACACACACAAACAGACAGACAAAAACTAAAAGGGAGACACACTTACTTTTCTGCCTTACAGATGATGCCTTTTCGGCTGAAAATTCGCAGCACTTCACGGCGGCATTCCTCATAATTACTGTAGCGGGTAATTATCACCAGCGATGAGCCCTTCAGCCTCAGCATGCCAGCAGTAGTAGTAGTCTTCTGCCGATTAACCACCGGCCTCACCGTTTCAGAGGTGCTTTTCGATGAACAAGCCAGCGACTCCTGGTGATGGCCTGATGATGATGACGAGGACAACGAGGAGTGAGCAGAGGAGAACGTGTCAGTGCTGCTGCTGGTGCTGCTGATGCTACTGACAGTGTCCCACTGCTGATGCCAGTGCCAGTTCTGACCATCTGTTTGGTCCAGAGAGTGCGTGTCAAGCAGCGAGCGGCAGCGAAGGCTCTTACTGGGACGATTGACACGTTGCTCGTCAGAGTCGGTCGTCTCGGTGAGCGAACTTTGATCTGATTGATCTCGTCGCAGCAGCAGTCGGCTGAAGGCTCGCTTGCCTGCTGTAACAGTTGACGCCACGGCGGTGGTTAAATCGCCAACGCCGCCGCCACTCTTGTTGCCGGCAGCTGAGGCAGAATTAACTTGCCACAGATTTTTGCAGCTGAAAAACTTGGTTGAGAAGGCAGAAGTGAGCCGGCGAGCGAGGCTCTGTCGGAGTGAGGAGAAGGACAACGTATGGCTTAACACTTGCTGGGAAGATGGAGAGGGAGAGGGACCGCAGTGGTCAGCGGACTGATGATGCCTCTCCGCAATCGATTCACTCCAATTCGATCGCTCATCGGCAATTTGAGGCCTGGAGAATATTCCGCTCAAATTAAAGTGTGACTTTGCCATGGTTGGCCTCAGCGCCACACTTTTGCTCGTCGTTTTAGTCGTCTTAGTGGTGCTTTCTGCCGTCAGACAGTTTTCGGTGTCTTTGCCGCCGCCGCCGCCGCCAACGTCGATCGATGTCCTGCGATGATGCTCGCCTAGCACAGAAGGCACTTTATGTGGTTTTTTACTTTCACTTGGGTGCTCACTTTGCTGACTGCCACCACCACTAGTACCTAATGATGCCGTAATAGCAGACTCCTCTCCATCACTCAGCTTAGATTTGCATGATTTAACGACCACTTTGGGGGAATTAGGTGCCACACGAGACTCCATAAACGTGTGCCCTCGGCGCATTCCAAGTGCTGCTGGAGCTGATTCTGCTGATTCTGCCGATGCTGGCTCTGGGCTTTGACATTTCTGGTCAGCTATTTGCTNGCGCATTCCAAGTGCTGCTGGAGCTGATTCTGCTGATTCTGCCGATGCTGGCTCTGGGCTTTGACATTTCTGGTCAGCTATTTGCTGCAATCGATTTCGAAGAGCAGTTGAGCCTAGCTTCAGTCCCAGACTCTGTGTGTCGATAATTGCCAAATGGTAATGGTGTTCAATTAAATGCACAAATAACTTACTTTGTACTGCTCAAAGTTTTCCTTGATGAGCCAGTAAGTGGCCGTGTGATAGCCGAACTTATTCGAGAGAATGTTAAATCGCATCTGGACAATGTCGTTCTGTACTTCGTGTGAATGCAGCATCAGGCACTCTTTCAGCGCGGCCTCATTCAGTCCGTCCACAGAGTCCTCCGACGTTTTGAGGGCCATCTTTTTTACTTCTTGCTGTTGCTGCTGTAGCCATTGATGACTTAATATTTGTTTGACACTTGCACGCTCCACTGGGCTCACTTTGAGCATTGAAACGATGAGATCACTGAGCTGGGCGCTTAGGGTTGAAGGCAGTTCAAAAATTCCCGTCTAAAGGAGAGAATTTGAAGAAAAAATAGATAGAATGAGTGAGTTGCTGAGATAGGCATATTTTTGTTGGTCAGTCCCTTCCAAAATTACTGTTTTGCCTGCTACATACTTGAATCCTTGCGACGAGCTGCACCAAACTGTCCTCTGCAAAGGGGAGCGATCCGGTGGTGATGAAGTAGAGCAGGACACCGGCGCTCCAAACATCAATAGCAGGTGTGCTGACTGCCGAACTGCCATTTAGAGTTTCAGGTGCAGTGTACTCTCGGCTGATGTACGTCTTTGTCACCGCCAACTCTTGCACAGGCGATTCACCAATGTCAAAATGATGATGGGCCAGCTGAAAGCCAATTAGTTTGATGCGAAATGACGAGTCTAAAAGGACGTTTTCCGGTCTAATATCTCCGTGCAAGATGCCCTTTTTGTGAATGTAGCCCAGGCAGTTGATTAGGTCACTGAATAGGAGTTTACTTTAAAGAGAAAATATTGACAAAAATTTAAATGTTTATTTCCGTTTCACATCAAATCAGCCATTCCTACCTTTTCAATTCATTGAGTTTTCCTTTTCGCTCCACGTAGTTGAGCAGATCGCCATTGCTGCAGTACTGTGGATGAAGGCAATTTAAGGTCAAATATGAATCCAGCAAATGTTTCTGCCCATTAGTATTGCCCAATGACAATTACCTCTCGCACAATGTAAATGCATTTATCGTCTTCAATCAACTGAAAAAGGCGCGAAATATTTCGGTGACTGAGTACTTTTAAAGAGTTTATTTCATTTGACACCATATTTTTGTCAGTAGCATTCTGGAAAAAATATTTAGATTAGAATTTTTGTGACAACTTTTTAAGAAGTGAAAAAATACCCGAAATCGTCTTTTGTTGATTACTTTGAGGGTAACCAGTTGAAATGTCGTTAAATGAGTGGCCAGGCGCACTTTTCCGAATCGTCCTTTGGAAAGAGTCTTTGGGTGAATGTAGTATCCCGCATGAACATCCTGGTCAAATTGTCTATAATTTAACTTAGGCACAATTTGAATCAGATCATTGGATGCTAAACTGCCAGCCACTGATGACTTATCATCAGTTTGGAAGGATGATAGTTTTCTTTGGTAGTCTTCCTTCATGATGAGCTAATATTTTTGACTCTTAAAAACAGTGCTCCTCTGTGGCTTCAAGTGAGCTAATGAGCCCAAGGTAATTTAGCAGGGCACGCGCTCAGTCTTTGTGCTCACCTGAGGCAGTTGTAGCACTAGGACTGCACCTGTCACACAACTCTGCAGCTTTGCGAGACAAAAGCCTCACGTGGCTATTGTTTCAGAGTGAGAAGCCCTTTCTGCCCTGGGGGCAGCAGAGACAGGTTTGTCAGGCCCTAGTGGCACTTTGACAACTGACTGATTAGCTCGCTTGCACAAGTGCTTCAAATCTGCAAATTGAAGCACTTGACAATTTTTACAGCATTTTTCTTTATTTAAATGTACCGTGAGTGTTTTAATAATTGATCAACTGGGTAAAGATTTTATATAGTGAGATGGAAGAAGGAAAATGAGTATTCTTTTGCACAAGAAAGATTACTGGCAAAAAAGAAAATTAAGCGCCGTGCAATTAAAATCTAAAAAATAAAAATGTGTAAAATTCAAATTTTTTGCTATTTTGACGTTTCTGTAGCTCGTGTTATTTTGGAAATGACAACAAAAGTGTTCTGGGCGGAGCTACTCTGACTGCTGTAAGCAGTCTTGGCCCAGCCCACTTGAGCAATCAGCTTCTCTTGCCTCTTCACTGGTGAGGCGAACAAGACAACAAACAAACAGCTTTTTCAACTGATCATCACATCACGACCATTTCAGAAATGTCTTATGGAAGTCGGCGTCTAAGTCAAGTTCCCAGTCAATCAAGCTCTTCCAAAGTGGATAACGGATTCATCAACCTGGGGGAAAGCGGCGTAGTCCGGGAGATTGGCTCGCAAGCAGTCTGGTCGCTCTCATCATGTAAGCCCGGCTTCGGCGTGGACCAACTGCGCGACAACTGCCTGGAGACGTACTGGCAGTCCGATGGCCCCCAGCCGCACCTGGTGAACATTCAGTTCCGCCGAAAGACGACCATTCTCGACATTGGCCTCTACGCCGACTACAAGATGGATGAGAGCTACACACCGAACCGAATCTCAATTCGAGCGGGCAACCACTTTCACGACATTCACGAAGTCGAACTGGTGGAGCTAAACGAACCGGCCGGCTGGGTGGTGGTGCCGCTGCTGGACTCAAACAGTAAGCCCATTCGCGCATTCCTCATTCAAATCGCCATCCTCAGCAATCACCAAAACGGTCGCGACACGCACATTCGACAAATTAAAATCCACTCACCGGTGCGCGACTCGGTCGTTTCAGTGCTCAAGTATCAGACCAAGTTCAAGACGGTGGAGATGTCACAACACGCCTGTATTAGGTAGTAGTAAAGATCAAACTTTTTTTTTAATTTGCTAAATGCTGCTGCCACTTTGCTGCAAATGAATTTGTGCACAATTGTATAAATCGAGTTGGTTGTAAAATAAATAAGTTATAGTGAAATATATCATACTGACTACTTTCCTGCCCCTGAGAGTGAGATGTCCATGAACTTTCGTTTGGCAAAGCACAGCCACCACTTGGAGGGCTTTTGGTTTTCCGTATCAAAGACGCGCTCCACTAACCGTATTCCACACTCTTGGCGAATCTGAAGCAAGTACTGCCTGAGTAAGTCCTGCTCTTCGGCATTGTTTGGCTTTGCGTAGACTGCATTCAGAGGAAAGCCTGGGTCGCCTGAAATGAAAGAAAGAAACAATCAGTACAGTGCCTTCTTAAAAACTTGGTATACTACAAACCTGGAATATCAAAACGAGAAATAGCTAGTGCATGCATCTCTTGGAAGGCACCTTCCTTAGAGTTTAATCGCTGCAATCTTTTGAGACACTCAATAATGTACAACGTCAAATATATGAGAACGCGGTCAGCGTTTGATTGAATTTCGTAGGTTTTGAAAAATACATTCGGCTTGAAGTAAAACAGTGCTTCATCGATGATATCCTGAGCAGCTTCCGAGCCTTCATTGCCATTCGCTACGCTATAATTTTGAATTGGCCCGCGGAACTTTGTGCGAAAAGGCAACAGAGCCACATTGCCTATTGACTTGTCTGATGTCAATTTGGAGTGGTAAGAAGGCATTATACTAGCGGTAACTAGCAATTAGTTACCCTTGTAATCTGAAAAAAGATAGGCATTTGATTAGTGTACAATTCTTAATGGTAAAAAGTAATACTTTGGGATATGAGTTCAGAAGGCCGGGCAGAATATGCAGGCGCGGTCGATGATTTACGGGTAAATGAACGACAAGTGGAATTTGGCAACTTCACAACAATCTCTCGGCTCGCCTGACATGTCACCGAAATGACAAGTGCTCAACACTTTTTTGGCTCTTCCTTCTCGAACTAGTTCTCCAACTTTGCTAGGCAATCTGGTCAGCTTGCTTCCAAAAGGTAGTTTTAGTTTTTGGATAAAAATCAATAAACACTATGGTGAGGGTTTCACAATGGAAGCAATGATTTCTTTAAAATCGTTAACTTTTTTTTATCTCCAGTCGCAAGGGAGCAGCCGCAGAGCAGAAAGTGCATTTCGGTCGTTGGAAACTTTCCGGGGAAGTTTTTCTCTCTACCTTCAATCACATGGTCAATCAAAACAACCTCGAAAATATGATTTGTTTCACCTTTTAGCCATACAATGAAACTCTTGCGTTGTGCCAGTTTATTGCTGGTACAAACACGGGCATCACGCGTTTCAGCGGTGGCATATCAGCGAAGAAACTCGGCGTTGAAAGAGGCCCCCGTAGAACGACTTGAAAATGGAAATGTGCAAAATGTTTATTCGGCGGTCGTTCCGCCGGTTGAGAAGAGAATACCTGTGAGCTTGCCGAAAAACACCTTTGTGCCTAGTGGCGAAACAAACCACCTGCAAAGGCAACAATGGATAGTGCAGGATCGTTTGCCTTTGCCCACTTTGCTCACCTCGGAAGACCAGAACGTCTGGAAAGATATTCCAGCGACAACATTAACAACCTCCCTTGATCACTATGCTAAATTATCAAAGATCAAATTAACAGGTAATGTAGTTATTGTATGCACTATATGATAAAAGTCTAAAGATTATGTTTGTGTTTCAGGTCTAGTCGTACTAACAACATTAGCGGGATTTTACATGGGAGCCCCTGGTGCAATAAACTATCCCCTGCTTGCTTCAACTTTGATCGGAACAACACTCACCTCTGGATCAGCGGCAGCTTGGAATCACTATCTGGAGGTACCTTTTGACTCGCAGATGAAGCGAACTCAAGATCGACCCCTTGTGCGAGGTCTGATCACTCCTCTTCATGCCGCCTCCTTTGCCTTCGTCTCGGGAGTTACTGGGCTGACCATCCTAGCAACTTGCGTCAATCCCCTGACCGCCGCCTTGGGCGGACTTAACCTGTGCCTGTACTCCTTCATTTACACCCCAATGAAGCGCGTTCACATTGCCAACACCTGGGTTGGAGCAATAGTCGGCGCGATTCCACCTGTGATGGGCTTTACCGCCATAACCAACTGCATCGGTTTGTGCCATTGTCTGAGTGTCAACTGTGTGTCTCACTTCTAACTGTATTCTTTCCTTTCAGACTTACCCTCAATTCTGCTTGGTTTAGTTCTCTACTCGTGGCAATTTCCCCACTTTAACGCCCTGTCGTGGAACATGCGACACGAGTACGCTCGCGCTGGCTACCGCATGATGTCAGTCACCGACCCGAAGCTGTGCCAAAATACGGCTCTTCGGCATTCAGTGTTTCTGCTCGGCTGTACCACTGCCATGTGCGCCACCGGCATGACCCATTGGTCATTCGGCGTGGACACTCTGCCCTTCTCGCTGTACCTCGTCTACCTTTCGTATCGCTTCCGCACTGAACCCTCCTCACAGACATCTCGCAAGCTCTTTCTCTACTCTTTAATCTATTTACCCGTAGTCATGTTCCTCATGGTCATTTCCAAGAATAGACGCAGCAGCAGCAACAGCAAAAAATCCTCAGAAAGTGCACCTGCCATTACCTGAACCCGAACACACACTTGTCCTAGCCCACCTGTAATTATTTTGTAACATTTTTGTTATATATTTGTTATATTCGGAAGGTAGCCAATGTTTTATTAGTAAACCAATTTATTTACACTTTACAGAGTACATTTGAATGACATGAAGCCTACCTCTTTTTGATCATGGCCTCTCATCGACTGATCTAAAGAATCTACTGAATGAATCCCTTTTTTCAAGCAGAAGTCATCGTGAATTGAATTTCTTGGAATTTCTGTAAACTTTCAAAGAAACAAGTGAACAAATGTCAATTGAAGGCGCAGTGCAATCGATCTGACCAGTGCCGCCGCAGTGATGGCTGCTGGCACAGTGGCAGTCAACATCAGCACACTCTGCTGCGTGTGCACTCGATCGAATCGCACTTGTGCATGCCTTGCCAGTGCACATAATCTTCAAAATTTTGTCCTTATCATTCAAGTTCTTTGGCCGCAATCAGATGTTTCTTAAACTCATTCAATGCACTCCCTCTCCCGAAAGATGCAATGACGCAACTGAACTTTTGGCTATGTCTCCCAAAGTTTTTGCATTCGGGATTGAAAAGGCGAAGAAGAAGAAGAAGAAGGACGGCAAACGGTTAGTGTGCGTACAGAAAATTAATCAATTTGCATCTGAAAGCGATGATTTATTTGGGTGAGTAATGCAAAGAGACGCTAGGCGTGCACAAGACACTGGGCACACTGTGTTCAGTCTTTGTGCCTCTTTTGCCTNATCAATTTGCATCTGAAAGCGATGATTTATTTGGGTGAGTAATGCAAAGAGACGCTAGGCGTGCACAAGACACTGGGCACACTGTGTTCAGTCTTTGTGCTTGTTTTCCCTTCTCTTCTACACCTTTCGGTGTATATCACCCCCTACGCACCATTCTTCTTGGTGGTGGTGGTGGTGGTGGTGGCAGACTCGCTTCACTACGCGCACCGTCTGGGGAATGGTCAAGATGGCCTTCTTCGCCTTTTTCTTATCATTCTCGGAGCACTTTTCGCTCGCAAGTTTTCTTCAGATGCAGCATCGGTTCAGTTTGGCCTTCTTCGCGGTGTCGCCCATGCTGTGTGTGGTGTTCATCTTTTTTTTTCTTTTTCTTCTGCCGACTTGGGCGACGTTCTTCTGTCAGCTGACTCGATCATCAACTCGGATTTGATGCACTCTTTTTCCTCCAATCGCCTCTTTAAGGATGCGGCACTCCGTGTCACTCGCTGGCGTCACTGCCGCCACAGTCGATGCTGGCTCCTGTGGGACAGTTACAGAGAAAGAATTTTAGCGGTAGGTCATCAATCATTCACTGAACTAGCAGACACTTACCTAGCAGCTGCAGGAATATTTGGTAAATATTTGGCCAGAAACTTGGCTTTGCTTTTTATTCGAACATTGGGCCTTTTGAATGAGGGCTCTTTTGTTGACTCGATCGTTTGCGGCTGCTTGTCAATGGCTCTCGTGGTCATGTTCACTCGTGTATTGTAATTCAGTCAAATGGAATAATTGCACTCTGATGGCCATTGACTGGACTGTGACTGGTTGTTCAGAGATTTGTGTATCACTTACAAAATGCTGTTTACTGCACTCAAAGTATTCCACTCGACTTTGACCTGTTCTTGTGAAATAATTTCCTCATCCTATTTTTAGCGCTGATCAAAGTTGATAAATTAAATATTTTACATGTTTTACTTTAAAGAGCTCCATTAGAGAAAGAGAGTAGATTTAACCGAGTAGAATCGACAGCTCCCCTTCATTCTCCTTCTTCCTCTCGCCAGTGAATATTCTTCCGCCGATGTCAGTGATTAGCATAAGTTGACTAACTTAATCAATTGGCTGCTGTTGAATATCTTCCTCGCTGACACTACCGTTGCCAGCTTGTCTGCTGCCACTTGCCAGACTGGCCGCGTGCCTGTCAATTTTGTCTTCTCATTTAGCGCACTTTTGGATCACTTCATTACCATCTCATTACGCTGTTGGCTGTATTCATTGCCGACTCTATCACCAGCCAAGATTGGCCCTCTCCCTGTGTCTTATCCTTTGTATGTACCACTGGGCCCTTCAGACCATACTTGTTCAGGCAATCCACACTCCATTCCAGCAGCTCATTCATTTATCAGCCCTTTATCAGTGTTANATCCTTTGTATGTACCACTGGGTCCTTCAGACCATACTTGCTCAGGCAATTTACACTCCATTCCAGCAGCTCATTCATTTATCAGCCCTTTATCAGTGTTCAGGGAGAACACTGCTGGGCGCCATTGCTTCACTGTGGTACTTTTGTTTATTTCAACAATTTTTTGCTTGATGTTGGCTTGTCTGTCAACATTGCCATAGCACTTCATTGGCAGTAACACCCGGCCAGTTCAGACTAGTTCGATAGTAAACTACTGCTTAATTAATCTGCTTTGGTCCGCTGTTTATTCCGATATGGTCCTTTTCGGCACTTTGCTGGCACTCACTTCCGCCAGTGCTCACCGCCATGGCAAATGACTCAATATCTAGTCTGGTCAAGTAATCCACCATAATGACATGCTAATCAACTCGCCATTTATGTCGATAATTAATGTCCAGTGCGTGTGTGCTCGCTGATGAACAGCAGCCAGCTTTGTGCTCAATCACCTTACACTACTGCTAAAAGTGCAGTCAGACAGAGCACAGTGTGTCTCCATTTGGCTCACTTGTTGTCTTATCAGCGGCCAGTGCTCCCCTCCGGCAAAGTGTGCTCAAACAAACACTAATGGAGTGTCTAACTGTCTGTGTCTAGCTCTCTCATTGTCCAGTGTCCATCTCAGTGGAATCGAGAAGTGACAAGGTGGCAATTGTTCTCTTCAAACCGCTTTGTTTGATG